AAAATGCCGTTTTGAGACTAATAGCCCGTAGGGTTAAACGCCCTTTTGGGCTAAAAGTAAAACACAGCAAAAGAAAATAATTATTTGAAAAGAATTATGAAAGCAGCCGGATATCTAATTGGCAAGGATAAATCTTCACGGGTCGTCGTTGCGTACAGAAACTAATTTTGCAAAGACGCTTTCGTTTTGTGAAAAGCAATTGCAATTATTTATTAACAGTTTTCGCCGCTAGAAACATTCAAAAGAAAAATTATGATTTTTTTTAAAAAAAAAAACTAATTTCCCAGATCGTAGCGGATTGACAACAGTTCATAGAATGCAAACCTCCTCTCAAAGTATCCAATCGCATGACAACTCTTTCACAATGCGTAACAAGGATGACGACAATGCTGATAACAATGACTTGCTAAGGGCCGGATTGGCTATTTAATCATGACAAGTAACAGAAGGGCAATTTGTCCAAGCTTTCATCCTACTTTTGGTTGACAGCTCTCCAGGCCGATTTACTAGAAACAATGAAAGACATGAGTTATGCAGCTATTACCAATCAAGAGATACCAATTGCCGCAGCTGCTGAGAGTGCGTAAAGCTGCGAAAAGTTTAGAAATCATCGCGGTTCTGCTCTCGACGACTGAATGTACTGACCTCAAAGGGGTTTCGTTGCTTTTCCTGTTACCTATAGTAACTTCGGGTAAATTTTCTTTCAAAAAGTCCTCCATCAAGACTTCTCCTCATGCAAATAGCTCTAATGTGCATTGACATGATAAATCAATCCAATCAGAGACCCTCAAAACTTATTCGAAATAAAAAAACAATCCACATATTGCACAGACTTAACATATCAAATGGATTTCACCTTTTAAGTAGGAAGGCGGATTAAATGTGATCGATAAAATAGGTATTTTAGTTCAGTGAACTTCTTAAGTAAACTTCAGAAGAATTGGTAATGCAGTTCAGAATGACATTCTACGCTAGCAGCATGTAATAACTTGAACAAAATACAACTGAAAAATACTTATTAATTTCAAATGCTACGAATTCGTTGCTTTATAGCGTACTACAATTATTACTTCCTTGTACGAAGTAAAAGAAGTATTTTAATCGAAAAAAAAAAATCAAATCTGAAAGCTTTCAGATTTTATATTACGCCCAAAGGGCCGATTTTTTAACTTTTTGTGTGCTATCTTTATTTATTAAATATCATGTTCTTCGCTCTTAAACCATAAAATTCAATTTAACAGCAATATCGCAAAATAATTTTAAAATGAGCATATCTTTACAATTTCCGATACACAAGTTTCGCCCGTTGGAGTTTTTTTTTTTTTTTTTTTTTTTTTTTTTCCCGTACAGTATTGCCATTGCTCGCTTTGAAATCCTTGAGTTTGTTAATCAAAAATTCGTTAAAGTGTTACAAAATATGAAACCGATAATAAAACAGATTTCAAATTCCAAATTTGGGCTTCCCGGATGCCAATATTCGGTGGAAGATTACGTTACTCAAAATTTGACGACTCAAGATACCATTGTTTTACCACAATGAGAGAAACGTATATACATTTTTGCAGATTCTTCATTATTTAATTTCTTTAAATATAACACAGGGCTCTAATATTTGGTGGCAACAATTTGAAAAGTGAACCAACATTTATAGTGAACCAACGCAAAATGCCCAAACGAAATGAATAGCCTTTCTGGGTTAACGCCGTTTGGGCTAAAAATTTCAGGTATCGTGATTCAACCGCTCTCGATTCCATTTGAACTATGTTTTTGAGTTACATCTATACGTGTGGACAGAATAAAGGACTCTTTTTCGCAAAACTTGTGAAATGGATTCAGAAGAGATTTTTTCGTGACATCTGTACGTACGTATGTATGTACCTCGCATAACTCAAAAACGAGTAATCTCAGGATGTTGACATTTTGTATATCGGACTGCTACACCATGTGGATGTGCACCACCATTTTTGGTTGCAATCAAAGTAGAGTACCAAAGAACTCATTCTGAATTAAGCATTTTCGCTAACACAAATTTTGAGTGAAAAGCAATTTATGTAGTAAAATTGATAAAACACTTGAGTAATTGCCCCCTGACACCCTCGTTTTTATGCATGTTAATTCAAAACCGTTTGTATTAAAAATTCAACATTGATAATCTTAAGTGGAATAATGAAATAGAACTCAAAGTAATTGAAATAAACATTAGAAAATTAAGAAACATAATGATATCTTTTCAAAAACAAATCAAATAATAAAAATGGAAATATTAATATATATATATAATAAGAAAAAAGTGAATGTATATTAAGATATAAAAGGCCAGAAAAAGTATTAATTAACTTCGTTCTTTCTAGTGGGATGTGGGCAAAGTGTTTTAATATCATCAACATTTCTTTAGTAAATAAATTATTATTACCTTACTTTGCAGCTATTGCACAAGTATTAGAATAAATTGTTTTCGAAGTAAGTGAATTTTAAGATTTTATATATATGTGATGTACCAGCTTTTGTCAGGAATAAATAGATTGTTGAAGAATCATAAATGTAGTAGTAGCTTAAATTATCAGACGATAAGTTTAAAAAACATGATCCATTTATTATTGGTCAGGAGAAAGAGCAGTTACAAAATCAGATATCCGGAGTAAATAAAAAAGAACTACTAATAACATTTTGTATGAAGTTTACTGCAGCGTGACATTTAAGAAGAAACCGCCGATATTCCTTTGCGAGTCCTTTTATAGCCTCTGGAAAGGCGGAGCTTCCAAGAAATGACGTCAGCCTCGTCAGGCATTTCAGTTTGCTTTAAATATTTCCAGAACATTCTATAACTGTACGTGTAGAAAAGGCGGGAAAAACAACTTGACGACGGGGCTGTGGATTTAATTCCACGTACTTTCAAATAAGAGAACGTCGCCATTAAAAAATGAAAAGAACATACAGTTAGAATTTTAAGTGTATTATGAAATTATTATTAGAATTATATTATTACAAATTACTTGATTATGGAATTTATTATTACAAATATATATATATATATGTTACCCGGCTCGGTGAACTAAGTTTTTTATTCATATATGTTGATAAATTGTGCATTTTTTGCTTTAAAAGTGATAAGTTATATTGTTCCTATGTTACGGTTAAGTTTTTTATGCCTTTAACTTATCTGCATGCAATAGTTGTAGAATTGTCAGCAATTTAACAGTTGTTTAAGTTCCACTAAGCCCAACGACGTCGCCATTTGTTTACATTTGAAACTTAGTAGCATAATTAATTAAGTCTTCTGTACAAACACCAGTGTCTTTTCGCCGAGTGGAGCCAAAAGTGTTGTGCACCGAAAAATCTGTCTTTCTGCCTAATAATAAATTAGCCAACAATATTTTTCATTATTGACAGGGCAAACACTAGATTTGCTACTAATATTAAAAGCACTTTTCAAAAGAACACAGCCATATCGCTCACGCTGCATATGTTATGCTGATTTATAATAAATAACTTGGTTTTCTTTAGCTACTTCTGCTTACTGAAAATCTTATAGCGTGATAAAAGGAGGGGGGAGATTATTTATTGTTCTTTATCTTGGATTTTAGGCTGAACTGGGTGATAAGCATCAATAAAATTATTCGGATTTCAGTATCGCTAAGAAATACGGTGTCTTATGGAGGAGGAGGCGTCCAAATGTCGGAAAAGGAAAACTATAAAACTAGGAATTTTATCATTACATGGGGTTGCAATTTTTCGCTTCTTTTTACTACTATGTAAGACCAATCTTCACACGTGCCAAAATATGGTTTATCCTTGAATCCAACCCGGGATTCGAAGAAAACAGTTATAATTTCTAATATAAATTTAACCTAATATAAATTTCTAATGGTCTACCTAATATAAATTTCAGCTTATTTTTGATCATGGTTGGTGACTTTTAGTTATGAGCAAATATATGGGATAGTAATCCTAAAACTAATAAAGTCTCATTCTAATTATTTCCGATAAAAAATAAAACATAAAATAAAAATTTGCAATCTAAAGACATCAGCTAACAGTCCACCCCTTACCATGAACCATGAACCCCTTACCATGAATTTTTGAATGGCTAATGCCATTCAAAAATTAAAGAAAAAAAAATTCAAAACACAAAATTAGCAAAGCAATAATCTTGTGTTTGTCGCAGATTTAGTGAAGATCTTCATCGATTTCGAGGGCAAACAAGTAAGGTTTCTCTTCATCAGGAACAAGTCTGCAGTCTTACAGATTATATTACTTTATAATTTATTTTGTCGTGTTTCTCTTCTGTTTTCAGTTAAAAACACATTAGAAGCACAAAAAAATATAAAACATACAAAAATTTTATACGTTTTATTAATTATTTACAATAAAGCTGGAAATGTTCCTAAACTAAATTATAAAATAAATACATTTTAATCAACATCGTTTAGATATACAGTACAAAGTCCGTAATCCGGACTCGTCGGGACTTCGGCGATTCCGGATTAGGGTTTTTTCCGCATTATAGATCATCAGTTTAAATCTGGTAAGATGGTATGCAGAAATGATACAATTAAAAATATGAAACCGTAATTTATGAAATAAAGAGCAATTATGATCTAAAGGGTATGAAAATTTACAAAAAGAGGCTTAATAGTTATTTGTTTACTTTATTAAACATTTCTTTCAATGTCAATTGTTTAAGTTGCTTCATTTTCTTGTGCTAATACTTTCTCTCTAATTCTCTCTTCTATAAGCAGTCTCTCTCTATAAACAGTATCTCTTTTCTTTACGCGAATGCGTATCGAACGCGGGCATTAAACGCGCATGCGTAAACGTACTGTGTGCATGCGTAATCGTAAAATGCGTTTACGCATGCGCATAAAGTTTGTAGCTTTGAGGTCCGGATTATAGATCATTCCGGATTATGGACGTCCGGATTAAAGACTTTGTACTGTACTATATTTATTCGCGTATTCTCCCGTTGCTTATTTTTAACTTATTACGTGCTCCGCCCTTAGGCACTACACGGAAAAGGAGGAATGCCCCATGGAGGTATTTTAAAGGGAAACTGGCTAGCATTCACGTGGGCCGAACTACCAGTGTTTAGCGGGTTCGACCGCTGGTGGTGCCCCTTCCTTTTTGGCACAATTTTCTGAAAAATATGTAAGTAATTATCCTAATTTCTACTTCCTCATTCAAAGTATGCTCTCCTAAACTGTAAAATGAATTTGTTCATGCAATCGCTGTTTTCGTCTAATTAATTAATTGTCTCGCAGAATTCTGATGCCTGAGCTCTGATTGAAAACACAATAACAGTGGAGAAGCTCATCAAGGAAACATATCTGATGTTCTTGATAGATCTGGGTATCATTCACTGCATGTAGGAAAACAGACTGAAGGTGACGAAGACGATGACAGCAGTCGCGATGACGACAACTTTCAAGTAGTAGCAGTCAACACAGAAAACATTTCCAGCATAATCAGGTTAGCAGTGGATTAGCAGTACACAACAATATGATTGGTCGAGATACAGGGAAAGAAATGAAGATATCGTATTAGATAGTGTAATATTAACATTACTATATATTCTTATTCGAATATAGGTCTGTAGTAAATAAATAATTATTGTGAAAGTTAGCGGTAGTTTATTCAGGAATACTTTTCGTTTGATTTGTTTTTACTGTAACCGCCTACTTCGGAAATTATTCTCATAATTTACCCCTCCCGATTTTCGTACGATAAAATGAACAAATAAATAAATTGAAAGGTTTCAGATTTTAATGGTCGCCGAAAAGGGTTTGTTTAGGTTTTTTATGCTCTCACTCAACTCGTAGTCTACCCATTCTGCTCTTATACCCAACTACTGCTAGCCTATTTCTTTTTGCCTTTTTGACTTCATTATTAAGCATAATCACAAAAATTTTTAAAATAGCATAGCACTATACGTTTAGATTTCAAAGCTAGCAATGGCAACGCTGTACACTAAAAATATTTTATCTCCAGCGCGCAAGACTGCGTATCGGAAATTCTAAAGATATGCTTATTTAAAAATTATTTTGCGATATTGCTCTTGAACTAATTTTATGGTTTGAGTGCGAAGAACATGATATTTAATAAATAAATGTAACACACAAAATATTAAAAAAAAAAAAAAAAAAAAAAAAAAAACGCCCCTTTAGACTTAATTTAAAATCCGAAACCTTTCAGATTTTTTTTTTTTTTTAATTCCTCTTCAGTCTTTCCTGTGTTCAACATTTTCTTACTAAGATGGCTTTACAACCCCCCCCCTTATTTTTTTCCCTTTCATTATCATCGTTTTGCGTGTTTACTATTACTGTTTAAATATCACTTTGTTGGCTCTTACACCATATAAAACTCGATTCAACAACAGAGTCACAAAATATTTAAAAACACTTCAAGAATTTCCGACAGAAACTCTCGTGCGCTGGAGATAAAAATGTTTTATTCCGTAGAGTGTTGCCACTGCTCGCTTTGAAATCTGAGTTTCTTAATCAAAAATTCGTTAAAGTTTTTTCAAAATATTAAATACATAATAAAACAAATTCGAAATTCAAATTCGGGGTTCTAGGCGGCCATGTTCAAATACAAGACTACATTATTGAAAATTCGATGGCTCTAGGTTCCGTTGTTTTTCACAGTGCGAGAAACATACATACATCTCCGCAGATTCTTCATTATTTAATTTCTTTAAATATAATACAGGGCGATAATATTTGGTGGCAACAATTTCAAAAGTGATACGCCGTTTATAGAGATTCAACACAAAATGCTGTTTCGAGACTGGATCTCTGCATATGTGGCGAAAGGGGTGACCCTTATCATTACATTTTTGACTGTAATCTAACAGACGGCAAACATCTGATTAAGCCTAACAACAAACTTATACCATTTAAGAAATACGCAATAAAGAACAGACGCCTTAGGACAAAAATCAGAGACATTCTTATACATATCCAAAGACTCGGACTGGATATTTGTTATAGCTAATGCTTATTCATCTCCATATGTTACTAAAATATATTTGTCTATTTTTTTTTATTATTATTATTATTTTAATGTTCCAACAATTGCATTTTCCTACTCAATGCTGATGGACGGGATCTCCAAAGACTTGTTTATTACACCTTCCGCCTTAGAACAAGACATTTGTTCATACATTTAGACTTTTGGAAGCATCAGTTGTTGAACTTTTCAAGGAGAGTCTTTTCTCAGTATGATTTGTGTACACTATTAATACCAGAAGTCAATTATCTCAGAAAGTCCTCTCAAATGGTTGATGGTAAAAAAAGGAGGGGCGGGAGAACCTCGGACCCCCCTTCCCCGGGTGTTCTGCCTCAAAATTGGGGTGGAAAGTTTAACAGTTAGCTGGGTTCAGCAATACCTCAATTACCTGTGGTACTACGGAGGTGCTGGCCTAGCTTCTACCTGTACCTGTTCCGGACTAACGTCCCTTTTGGGCTAATAAAAGAACTTGGATTGGGGGGGAGGAGAATTCAACATCAGATACAGAAAAGTATCTAAATTTACGCATTCTCATTCATATCTAGACAATGCTTGACTGAATTTACACAACCATAAATGAACTGCGAGTTGTATTATGAAAATAAAATTTACAGATCACTGAATGCAATATTTTCGAAGCGGTGAGGCCCGGGGGGGGGAATCGAAAAATTCTCTAGAGTTAGAATCTAAGTCTTTTGCTATGACAGACATTTGTATTTGTGACAAATATCACGGAGGTTATGAAACATCAATCACCAATCACGACGATGAAGCTGATTTGTAGTTACCGTTTGATAATACCATTCCATCCAAACGGAGCAGAAAAGTGGAGGCCTGGAATGCCCCCGAAGGGAGAGGGAACGTTTTCTACAGGGGCAACTTTGATAAATAGTTCGGGTGTGTCTGGCAATTCGCTAGTTATCTCCATTTCAGAAGCACGTAGCACAGACAGGGAAAGAGCCCCTTTTCGAACGGATGAAAATGGATGGAGAGAGGCCCCCGTCGTAGTAAACAAACTGGAGGTGGACTGCCAGTTTTCATCTAGATTTTTTCGCAAATGACAGGGTGAAAAATTAAGTATCCAACAGCAAATATAAATTTCACTGTCACTTAAACCTTTGTTTACATCACTATATTCTGACGGGTAACACAAAAACTGGAATTCATATCTATTTCTTTGAAGATACAGCATCTCTTATTCTTTGGCAACACAAACTAACGAGCTCTAGACAGACTGTAGACAGGAATTATCCTCGGGTCTTAGAATACAGACAATGTCAGAAGAAGGGTGTAAAATGACCTTTATTCAATCACAACGAGATTCACAGACGACCCCCCTTTGCTTTACATAATCCAACACTTCTGGCTTAACTTAAAATAGTAATGTTTAAAATTATTTATTTAAAATAAAACGTAATTAAAATAGGCTAATGGCTCATAGGATAATGGCAGGAAGGCTCTGGCTCGTAGAAGTCGGCGGCACAAGCCAAATGGCTAGAAGCACTCAACGCCACAGAATCAAATCGTTCGTACACCAAAGTAACAACGTGGCCTTAAGGGGGCTCATAAACCTTAAACCCCTCATGATCTTCGAATATGTGACTGTTGCCAGAATTGGGATATATTATTTATTTTAAAAGCAATTACTTCCAATCTTTTACAGCTGACTACATAATATAGCTGCTTTGGGAACTAGTAACCATAAATTTTCTGTTGCCACAAATATTTTTGTAATTTAGTCCGCTTTGTGACGAAATATTTCGCCATGTTTCCACCTTGCGCGTATGATATTTTAAAAATGGCTGATGGTACATACTTGAAATGGGATGGAATTCTTTATATGGGCACTATTTTCTAACTGAACCAAAGATCTGATAAATATTTTAATATTGACAAATTTTATGGACGAAAACATTACAAATTTTTTTTTAATAAAATATATTTTATAAACTCAACTCCAAATAAAATAAAAATTTAACATGAAATTTTTAGAATTTTAGATTCACAGTAGTTTCCAAATGTTATAAAAGCTATATATTAAATATGGAATTAAAATTATGCAGCAGAATATTTTAAACTGTGCGCGCAAGATGGAAACATGACGAAAAATGTTGTCACAAAGCGGATTAAATTATAAAAATATTTGCGGCAACACAAACTTTCTGATGACTATTTCAGAAAGCAGCTATATTATGTAGTCAGCTGTAAAAAGTTGGAAGTAATTGCTTTTAAAATAAATAAGTTATCCCAATTCTTGCAACAGTCACCTATTCGAAGATCTTATGGGTTTTAAAGTGTATGAGTCCCCTTAAAGAAGACTTAATACTCTATAAAATCAACTTCGGAAACCTTCGTTTAAATAGGACTTCCTTTTCCCCTTAATTGGAATATAAGCGCGCTAGCTGATCTACATTCTGGTAGGAAAGCGTATATGAAAAGAAGAGCGGCAGAAAAGTTGCTTTAACTAAAAATTAACAGTTAGTCAAAAGAAACAAATAAATCCTCACAAAGATATTGCGCAAAAATCCGAATTTTTGTTAAAATTTATTTTGAAAGACCACCGAATTCTTTTCTGCTGGACAACATAGATTTTCTTACGTTCGGTTTATGTCACTTTTAGTTATAGTTTTGAAATCTGATGACAGTTCCTTAGCCACAGTTTTGAAATCTCAGTATCACTTAATTATGTCGAATACTATCGTAAGTATGTTGCAGCTATAGAAATTGGATATTAATTACTACTGTTCTTCGGGACATAGATAGTTTTTCGGTAGATAAATTTTATTTATTAGTTATACTTGTGTAATCTTTTTTAAACCACATCAGTTAACGCAATTCTATAAAATTAAAATAAATAAATGTAAGTTTAATAAGTTGAAGATAAATTAATGGGTTGAAGAAAAATCATACTTTTTAATTTCTCACAAAAATCACTTATTTCACATACGCTTAAATCTCGACATAAATTCGAATACAATAAAAAAAAAAATTCAGTATGCTCATGAGTACTGCGCAAGATTACTTCTTCACTTCACTTTAAACTAGTTAGTAACTAGTATTCATTTTTTGGAAGAGCCACGTAAATTTATAAAATAGTCAGTTTTAATTAATAAAAAAAAAAAAAAAAATCTGATGTGTACACCACATGACTTCCTTGTACGGAATATTAAATTATACGCATTTTTTCTTGCATTTCATTTAAACTTATTGAACTGAATTAAATCTACTTCGCCGACAGCGCATAAACCAAAAAACCACAAAAGAATAAATGCATTCTTTAAAATTCACTCTATTTGTTTACCATAGGGCCACTCCGCTAGGTCCACTTAACAGTATTATATTCGTTCATATTATAATTCAGAATGCACAAAATTTATATCATTTAAAGAATTACCTAATCGTTGCCACATGTTCTATTCAAATACTATAATAAAGCTCGAACGATGTATAAAAGAAATTAAGCAAACAAAACGAAAAAGAAACAGTTTTCACAGACGACTGAGTACTTCTCATTCAATTAATTCAGTTCTCACTTCGCGACAAGACAAAAATACATAAAAACTCAAAATATCTGTATTAAAAATTAC